CACCCGCAGCGCACCGGCGTGGCGTGGCCGAGAGGGGCCGCGGCCCGCTCCCAGAGCCAGGAGCGCGCCTATGTCCGGACTACAACTCCCAGCAGCCATCGCTCCGCCGGGACGGGCGACAGGCCGGCGGAGCGCGCGTTGCACGCCGGGATGTGTAGTCCCATTGCACCGTGGGAGCTGTAGTCTCCCGGGGCCCCCCATCAGTAGCCCTTGTGAGTCTGATCGTGGCTACGCCTTGGGCGGGGGAGGGGCAGCCGGACCCCTGGGTTCCCCGCCGGGCTCTGCCCCCTGGTCCCTCCGTGCCTCAGTTTCCCCAATATGGCATAGTTCATACTAGCATGAACGGTGCGTAGTTGGGTGTGTTAGGGGCTGTGCCTTCCTCACCCACCTGCCCAGTGTGTGCAATGCGCTAGCCACAGGCGGGCAACCTGTGGCCCACCCGGAGACCTCCTGTTCACTGTTGCACACACACACAGGGCTGCCGGATGCTGCTCGGTTCCACCCACGTAGGACTGAACTCACTTGTGCAAAGCACGCGTGAAGCGAGGTGCGGGCTGGTTGCACACAACACTGACCGGCAGCCGTGCGCTCCCTCTGCGTCCCATCAAAGCGCTGCTACGGTTCAGTCCGCACCCCCTGCAAACTCCAGGTACACACGTGCAGCCAGTAAAAATTCCCTATCCCAGGTGACCGTCTTGGTTACGACAATCTTGCAGCCTGAGTTGAGGGAGGGCCCTTCGTGTGGCCCACTCACTAGCCTAGGTTGCCCCTCGCTGCCCTAGTGCAAACACGAAAGTGACAGGTTACCTCCCTGCATTGTCACTTAGATTGTAACATTTCCAGGGCGGCGGGGAGGTGGGGGGGCAGAGGCAGGAAAGGCAATCGGGAGTTTGCAAGCTTTGGAAATGTTACCATCTAGGAGACCAGGCGGAGGAGGGAAGATCTTTTATTAGACCAGCTTCTGTGGGTGAGAGAGACAAGCTTTCAAGCTACACAGAGCTTGTCTCAGGTTTTCTTCCGGAGCTCACCCAGACTGCTTGGGCAGACAGCTACTGAAGAAGAGCTCTGTGTATCTGCCAAGCTTGTCTCTCTCGTCAAAAGAATTTGGGTTCGGTAAAAGATATTTCCTCGCCCTCCTTGTATTTCTCATACGCTAGACCAACGCACCTATGGCAATGCTGCAAATTCCAATTTAGAGCAAAGAAAATTCCTAGCAGCGCACCCTGATCCTTCAAGGTCGAGCACCCTCTGTCAACCTGTACACTCATGCATGTGCCAAGACATGTGGTAAGGAATCATAGAACCATAGAGCTGGAAGAGACCTCAGGAGTCATCAAGTCCATCCCAGGACCAATCCCAACTAAATCAACCTAGCCAGGGCTTTGTCAAGCCGGGACTTAAAAACCTCTAGGGATGGAGACTCCACCCCCTCCCTAGGGAACCCAGCCCAGCGCTTCCCCACCCTCCTACTGAAATAGTTTTTCCTAATATCCAACCTAGACCTCCCCCACTGTAACTTGAGACCATTGCTCCTCGTTCTGCCATCTGCCCCCACTGAGAACAGCCTTTCTCCAGCCTC